AAATCTGTTAGTTAATGACACAACACATCGTGCGGTAGAAATATAAATCTGTTAGTTAATGACACAACACATCGTGCGGTAGAAATATAAATCTATTAGTTAATGACACAACACATCGTGTGGTAGAAATATAAATCTATTAGTTAATGACACAACACATCGTGCGATAGAAATATAAATCTGTTAGTTAATGACACAACACATCGTGCTATAGAAATATAAATCTGTTAGTGACACAACACATCGTGCTATAGAAATATAAATCTGTTAGGGACACAACACATCGTGCGGTAGATATATAAATCTGTTAGTTAATGACACAACACGTCGTGTGGTAGAAATATAAATCTGTTAGTTAATGACACAACACGTCGTGCGGTAGAAATATAAATCTGTTAGTTAATGACACAACACGTCGTGCGGTAGAAATATAAATCTGTTAGTTAATGACACAACACGTCGTGCGGTAGAAATATAAATCTGTTAGTGACACAACACATCGTGCGGCAGAAATATAAATCTGTTAGTTAATGACACAACACGTCGTGCGGTAGAAATATAAATCTGTTAGTTAATGACACAACACGTCGTGCGGTAGAAATATAAATCTGTTAGTGACACAACACATCGTGCGGCAGAAATATAAATCTGTTAGTGACACAACACATCGTGCGGCAGAAATATAAATCTGTTAGTTAATGACACAACACGTCGTGCGGTAGAAATATAAATCTGTTAGTTAATGACACAACACATCGTGTGGTAGAAATATAAATCTGTTAGTGACACAACACATCGTGCGGCAGAAATATAAATCTGTTAGTTAATGACACAACACGTCGTGCGGTAGAAATATAAATCTATGAGTTAATGACACAACACATCGTGCGGTAGAAATATAAATCTATGAGTTAATGACACAACACATCGTGCGGTAGAAATATAAATCTATTAGTTAATGACACAACACATCGTGCGATAGAAATATAAATCTATTAGTTAATGACACAACACATCGTGTGGTAGAAATATAAATCTGTTAATGACACAACACATCGTGTGGTAGAAATATAAATCTATTAGTTAATGACACAACACATCGTGTGGTAGAAATATAAATCTATTAGTTAATGACACAACACATCGTGTGGTAGAAATATAAATCTATGAGTTAATGACACAACACATCGTGCGGTAGAAATATAAATCTATTAGTTAATGACACAACACATCGTGCGATAGAAATATAAATCTATTAGTTAATGACACAACACATCGTGTGGTAGAAATATAAATCTGTTAATGACACAACACATCGTGTGGTAGAAATATAAATCTATTAGTTAATGACACAACACATCGTGTGGTAGAAATATAAATCTATTAGTTAATGACACAACACATCGTGTGGTAGAAATATAAATCTATGAGTTAATGACACAACACATCGTGCGGTAGAAATATAAATCTATTAGTTAATGACACAACACATCGTGCGATAGAAATATAAATCTATTAGTTAATGACACAACACATCGTGTGGTAGAAATATAAATCTGTTAATGACACAACACATCGTGTGGTAGAAATATAAATCTGTTAGTTAATGACACAACACGTCGTGTGGTAGAAATATAAATCTGTTAGTTAATGACACAACACATCGTGTGGTAGAAATATAAATCTATTAGTTAATGACACAACACATCGTACGGTAGAAATATAAATCTATTAGTTAATGACACAACACATCGTACGGTAGAAATATAAATCTGTTAGTGACACAACACATCGTACGGTAGAAATATAAATCTGTTAGTGACACAACACATCGTGCGATAGAAATATAAATCTGTTAGTTAATGACACAACACATCGTGCTATAGAAATATAAATCTGTTAGTGACACAACACATCGTGCGATAGAAATATAAATCTGTTAGTTAATGACACAACACATCGTGCTATAGAAATATAAATCTGTTAGTGACACAACACATCGTGCTATAGAAATATAAATCTGTTAGTGACACAACACGTCGTGCGGTAGAAATATAAATCTATTAGTTAATGACACAACACGTCGTGCGGTAGAAATATAAATCTATTAGTTAATGACACAACACATCGTGCGATAGAAATATAAATCTGTTAGTTAATGACACAACACATCGTGCTATAGAAATATAAATCTGTTAGTGACACAACACGTCGTGTGGTAGAAATATAAATCTATTAGTTAATGACACAACACATCGTGCGGTAGAAATATAAATCTATTAGTTAATGACACAACACATCGTGCGGTAGAAATATAAATCTGTTAGTGACACAACACATCGTGCTATAGAAATATAAATCTATGAGCTGACCCGCGCCGTAAGCATACGCCGCTGTTTAGTTGTTTTATTTTCTAAAATTCACTACCAATGCTGCGACTGAAAATATTTTGCTTTAAAACACAATCAGTAGCTGGTAAAGGCGATTATCTTCACCCTTTCTCCTCACCCCCACCCCTCCCGCGAACTCCGTGAAAGCAGCCGTCCGTGACGACAGTTTACAGACGACAATGAATAGTTATGGCAGAAATTGTTATTACCTCCCCTTTTCAAATCTCAATAATCTGCCCCTACCCCTAATAGCCGATCCGGCTCTACGATTGTAAACATTCAGGGTGAACCACAGCTCACCTGACAGGTGGGGTAGAGGGTGGTGGCTAATCTGCGTTGTGTCTTCTATGGTCCCCATGAAGAGAATTACATATATAGATTAGTTAATGAAACAACCACTCGCATTTCGAGGACTCACATATAGGCAAAAAGTGCTTTGAATATTCTGCTTTAAAAAGTACGATACAAAATTATCAAATCTTGTATGGTTTTTTGTTGTTGGTTTTTTTTTGTTGTTTTTTTTTTTGTTGTTTTTATTTTTGGGGGGGGGGGGGAGTTGATGAGAAATTGGAAGTACCGTAAAGTACTACTGCCAGCCACTGTAAATCACTCAAAATTTGAAAGAATTAAAAGGACACATTACTGTAGGCATATAATTGGTATTTTAGAGACAGAAATATAGTTAAAGTACCACTTCCGGAGATCGGAAGTCAATCAAAAATTTAAAGTTCTCTGAGTATAAAAACTTTTATTTATATAATGGAAACATTTCTTAAATTATGTTTACATGGAAATAGAAAAAAATTCTACTTCCAGTTACCGAAAATTTGTTCAAAAATTGACAGAATCGTTGTGCATACAAGTTCATGTTTATCTGTGAAATTTCGCCCACGTAACGTAAAGGGATGTATGTTTTCACCAATGATATTCTGGCGGTAATGGACTGGAGTATGCAGAAAACTGCAAACAACGACACAAGAATCCAGTGAAGTTTCACCAAAAGGCGGGAGGATATCTGCTGATGACATCTGTCTTCTGTCTGACAAGCAATGACATGCACGACTAAAAGTAAAAGAAAAACAAATTCACGTATCTGGGAAGCGTGATCAACAAGGACGGGGGCGCAGACGAGGACATAAAATGCCGTATCAACAAGGATGGGGGGGGGGGGGGGGGGGCAGGCGAGGACATAAAATGCCGTATCAACAAGGATGGGGGAGCAGACGAGGACATAAAATGCCGTATCAATAAGGATGGGGGGGGGGGGCAGGCGAGGACATAAAATGCCGTATCAACAAGGATGGGGGGGGGGGCAGGCGAGGACATAAAATGCCGTATCAACAAGGATGGGGGAGCAGACGAGGACATAAAATGCCGTATCAATAAGGATGGGGGGGGGGCAGACGAGGACATAAAATGCCATATCAACAAAGATGGGGGGGGGGGGGGCAGGCGAGGACTTAAAATGCCGTATCAACAAGGATGGGGAAGCACAACAAGGATGGGGGGGGGGAAGCAGACGAGGACATAAAATGCCGTATCAAGAAGGCCAGATGTGCCCTCACTAGGCCGGCCGATATGAAAGTGCCCAACCATATCACTCCAGGTCAAGATTAGAATCTTAAACACAAATGTGAAGGCAGTATTGCTTTACGACTGGGAGAACTGGACGGTTACCATAACAAATCCACACAGGCTACAGTCGTTCACAAACTGATGTTTACGACAGATCATTAAAATAAGGTGCCCAGACAAAATATCAAATAAAGACCTGCGGCAAAAAACAAAACAACAGCCAAGAGATAAGGATATCAAGGCCCGTAAATGGGGATGGATTGGACGTACCACGAGAAGGGAAGAAAGCTATGGACTGGAATCCTCGGAGAAAAAGGAAAGTGGGCCGGCCAAAGAAAACACGGAGAAGAACGTTAGAAGAAGAGGCCAAGACAGCTAGGCTCACGTGGGCACAGATAAAGGGAGCAGCCCAAAACCGAGTCCGGCGGAGAGGTGTGATTGCAGCCCTTTGTTCCCTAGGATTGCTAGTCCGGTGGAGAGGTGTGATTGCATGCCTTTGTTCCCTAGGATTGCTAGTCCGGTGGAGAGGTGTGATTGCAGCCCTTTGTTCCCTAGGATTGCTAGTCCGGTTGAGAGGTGTGATTGCAGCCCTTTGTTCCCTAGGATTGCTAGGCCGGTGGAGTGGTGTGATTACAGCCCTTTGTTCCCTAGGATGGCTCCACAAAGGATTAAGTCATCCTAAACGGAACTTGATTTATCGGGGTTTGAGTTAAACCATTTCCGATTACCGGAAGTCACTTAAAATTGCGATTTTTATGTAATATACTTTTGTAAGAGACTTTCAATATAACCGAAACAGTACACAAGTTTTCCTGTTTACATACAGACAGACGCACAGACAGACATAATTGCAAATCTGACTCGGGAAGGTCTAAAAAGTCGAGTGTATCAAACAATCGATTTAGATTTCTTGCACAATAACAAAATCTCATTACATTTTTTGTGTACGATTACAAAACTTTTTTAAACTCTGTGTACGAGAAAGTAAGGTTTAACAGCATACCAATGGTGAGTAGGTTTAAGAACAAACTAGAGTTGAGTAGGTTTACACCGTTTTAATGGCAAAGCAATATTACATTAGACAATGGCACAAAAAACTAAGTACAACATAACAGTTTTTCTACAAAACATAATTATGTACAACATAATATGGGTACATTCTATGTGTACAGCATTACAGTTGTACAACATTACATCTGGTCGTTGTATTGTATAACCTAACACGTGTACAAAAAAACTGTACAAGTGAGACAGTGGTTGGCCAACTGCCCACCGAACCTGTCAATATCTTGTTCTGCTGTAGTTAACGACGTCTAGCCGGACAATGCCGTACGACTTCCGCTGTCTAGGCCCTGTCGGCTCCATACCCAATCCCGTCCCAGAACTGACAGAACTGGTCCCTGTAGTCGTGCACCAACGTGCGGCTCGGCACCAGGAAGTGCATGGCCGGCCACTGGGACGTGGGGCTGTACTTCGGCCAGGGGGTCAGTTGACCTCTGACCTTGGATGAGATGTCCAGACGCGCGTGCATGTCCTGGTGGCCGAGGTGGATGGTGGCCTCGGCGTTTATGGCCATCTGGTCAGTCTGGCGTGGCCGCTGGCGAGTGACGTCACGGGTGTTGGGGTCACCGGACCAGGCGAAGTTTGTCCAGTAGCTGATGAGATCGCTACTTAAGGCCTCCTCGTCTGCCGTAAATGTGAAGTTGCCTTTATTGGCGGTGTGAAACACGTACACGATCTCCGTGCCGTGGCAAACCCGACCTGCAAACAGGCAGCGGTGGTCAACTTTTGTTACAGATCAACTTTTGATACAGGTCAACTTTTGTTACAGGTCAACTTTTGATACAGGTCAACTTTTGATACAGGTCAACTTTTGATACAGGTCAACTTTTTACACATGTCAACTTTTGATACAGGTCTACTTTTGATACAGGTCAACTTTTGATACAGGTCTACTTTTGACACAGGTCAACTTTTTTACACGGGTCAACTTTTTACAAGGGTCAACTTTTGATACAGGTCAACTTTTGTACACGGGCCAACTTATTATACAGGTCAACTTTTGATACAGGTCAACTTTTGTAAACGGGTCAACTTATTATACAGGTCAACTTTTGATACAGGTCAACTGATTTTATTGTCAACATTATAAACGGTCGATGTTCTTGAACTATCAATAATGAGTAATGTTTATTGAATTTTTCAACCTTTAATTCTACCTACGCACCCGACCATCTATTCACCCCAACCATACCCCCCCACCCTATTATCCGACTCTTCCCCCTCTACCCCACTGTTGAGTGCCTCCCTTGCAGCCTCACCTGACTGTTTTATAGAATGTCGAGATACTGAGTTGCAGCCCTTGGTTGTGTGTTGTGTGTAGGAATTTGTGACATGAACGGCTGACGTGTGTTCACGTGAACGGTTGCCGTGTGTTCACATGGACAGTTGCCGTGTAATAGAACGTGTGTTTGTGTACCAGTTAGTTGGGAGGTCAGCACAGAGAGGATGTGGAGTGGACGTGTATGCTGGAGATTGTCAGGTACCGTTTTATTGTATCGGAGTTTGTATTTATCTGTACAACGTATTATGGTATACTTATTGTTGTTATTGTTGATTATCAAGTAGGCCTATATTGTGTGGTACGTCTTAGTATTGTATTGTCTCCCCCCTTACCCCTCCCCTTGACATCTAAGAACCTGACGCCCATTAACTGTGACGTCACTAATCAGCGTGTGGGAGTGAAAGAGAGATATTGAGTACACGTGAACCTCTGTCCTTCGTTGTTGTTGTTGTTGTTGTTGTTGTTGTTGTTGTTGTTGTTGCTGCTGTTGCTGCTGCTGTCGTCTCCCCGTGTATGTTCTGTCTGTTGGCTGACAGTTTATTGGTGTCAAAACAAAATACAAACTCGACATTACCACGTCAGTGCTACCAACCCGACCATGGGGGTGCACTCGGCCTTACCCTGACCGTGCAACTAACCCGACCATGGGGGTGCACTCGGCCTTACCCTGACCGTGCAACTAACCCGACCATGGGGGTGCACTCGGCCTTACCCTGACCGTGCTACCAACCCGACCATGGGGGTGCACTCGGCCTTACCCTGACCGTGCAACTAACCCGACCATGGGGGTGCACTCGGCCTTACCCTGACCGTGCTACCAACCCGACCATGGGGGTGCACTCGGCCTTACCCTGACCGTGCTACCAACCCGACCATGGGGGTGCACTCGGCCTTACCCTGACCGTGCAACTAACCCGACCATGGGGGTGCACTCGGTCTTACCCTGACCGTGCTACCAACCCGACCATGGGGGTGCACTCGGCCTTACCCTGGCCGTGCAACTAACCCGACCATGGGGGTGCACTCGGCCTTACCCCGAACGTGCTACCAACCCGACCATGGAGGCGAACCTTACCTTCACAGAACGTGACCTGCCCCCAGCCGGGGAAGGAGAAGGCGTGGTCCCAGAGGTAGAGCCAGACATCCCCCGACCCCTGGTCCAGCAGGGTACGGCTCAGGTTCCGAGTGGGGCAGCCAAAGACCAGGTCGGTGCTGATGTTGACCAGTACCTCCCTCTGGTCCTCCAGGGACGTGGGTGGGTAGTGTTCTGCCATCTGATCCGTGGGGGGGGGGGGAGTCATTAGGTACGTTAAGTTTGTTGTATACATTTAGGTCAAACATATAAGTAACAGGTTGTAACTTGTGTATAAAATATGTAATATAGTTATAACAAATTGTGGTTACATTACATTAACATATACATAGATGTTTAACACTTAACTCCTCACCCCCTGACCTTTAACCCTAATTCGGAAACGTGTTAAATGTTTAATGTTAATGCCATTTACACCATAAATAAACAAAAAACACAACAGCTGTACTCGGTCCCGAACCCAAAACTTTGACGATAGATGCCGTAAGCTCTACTCCACCTGGCCACCATTCCAAAATATAACCTTATATACAATCTGGGGAACTTCATTTCAAAATGTCTAATGTATGTTTGCCTTTATATAGAAGCTAAATATAGATTGACAGATATAAGCACTCGCGACACTTACATATATATATATATATATATATATATATATATATATATATATATATATATATATATATATATATATATATATATATATATACACACAAACTCAAGTTTGTTTACATGTTTGAATATTTGTTTGTTTGGCTGATTGGCTACTGGAGAGAATCTACTCTATGTGTAGAGCTGTGAAATAGAATGTAGGTAGAGAACAATTTTTGTTTTCAGACAGACTGTTAATCACAAATTTATTTAAAGACGTTAATTAATTTATTGATTTATTCATTAGTAGATTAACCACATTAATTTTAAAAGTTTAGAAAAACGACTTTACTATGAGTGAATAGTGACGTCACATGATTTGTTAACTTTTTAGCACAATGAATGGCGGCTCCTATACAAGATTTCGTTGCTTATTCAGATCTTTAACGCGTTATAAAGCTAATTTTCTGTCGGCTAGAACTTTAACAATACGTTCATTTGCTGTTTTTATTATGTTCCAACATTTTCAACTGTCTTTTTCATTTAGTTTTACAATAAATGTATCTAGCTCTACAATCTGTCCAAGAAAGTTATTTATAGATCTAGATCTAGAATCTAGGTCAAACCAAAGATTAATTAGTTAAAAATACAATCCATTTTAAAATCATAATACATTTTTGAGTTTCTTTATTAAACTACTTTAGTCCTTAAATACTTGATATAAATCTTTGTGATTTATCAATCTAGATCAAGCAAGAGTTACGCAAAAGCTAGACTTAAGCAAACGAGTAATAGAATCTAGATAATTCTATCTAGATCTAGATAATAATGAGTTTCTATACTAAACTATTTCAGACCTTCATTATTTTATATAAATCTTTGTTTGTGTAGCTATGGAATTGGCTAATTTAAGATAAAATTTAATTTGAAAGTTACTACACTTAGATCTAGATCTAGAAAGGTCCTATGCGCGTAAATCAAGTTGCATTAGGAGACTCAAAGTATTAAACTATACCATAAAAAACATTAGTGACGTTACGAGTCTAAATAGCTATGTTGTTAGTGTAATAGTCTTTCATGCGGGTGGCACGGGTTCTAGTCAAATCATGTCATTGTTAAAAAAAAATTATATTTTAGATATGAATGATAAAGTTGCCTATCTGAACTTGGCGGGATACAGGGCAAGTGAAGTAGAGTTCATCTGTTTCTTTGTCCTAAGCATATGAAGGGATAGTGTGGTCAGAGACGTGCTCGGACGGAATAGTTTTTTAAACGATAAAAACATGTTGTCTGAGACTTGGCGGGACACTGGGCAGGTGAAGTAGAGTTGAGTAGGTCACCAGTGACGTCAGTATATGAAGGGATAGTGTGGTCAGACCAATGTTCAGCCAAAATCGGCGTTTTTAAAAGATAAAAAAAAAAACGTCTTTTTGAATGTGGGGTCTGGTTTTTTGTGACGATAAGTGACAGACGTGATGTTCTTTATTAATGGCCCCCAAAACTCACAGTTATCAAAGAGATGACGGGTAAGTCTAGTATATATATATATATATATATATATATATATATATATATATATATATATATATATATATATATATATATATATATATATCCCATAACGCCAATCTAACGACGAATGATTCTGGAATGAAACCAATTATGTTTTATTGTGAACTCATACGCAGCCAAAAAATTAATTTCTCCCACCATTTTAAAGCAGGCCGAGAAAAAAAAACCGAGATATTAAAATTCCTCGCTCGTTTGCCAGAGGAAATTGGAGGCCGTTTTTAAATCCGGACGTCCTTGTAGCGGCTGTAGATGTCCTATCACTTCATAATTGCATTGCTTATGTTCGGGGGTGTAAAAACCGATTGATTTAATGAGTTAATTAGTTTTTTGACATGATCTATGGGTACGGGTCAATGGGTGCCTAGTGCATTGGTGGCACATTCGACGGATGTATGAGGGCAGAAGGTTTTGTGAGGGCAGATGGGAAGGTTTTGTGAGGGCAGATGGGAAGGTTTTGTGAGGGCAGATGGGAAGGTTTTGTGAGGGCAGATGGGAAGGTGTTGTGATGGCAGATGGAAAGGTGTTGTTAGGGCAGATGGGAAGGTTTCGTGAGGGCAGATGGGAAGGTTTCGTGTGGGCAGATGGGAAGGTTTTGTGAGGGCAGATGGGAAGGTTTTGTGAGGGCAGATGGGAAGGTGTTGTGATGGCAGATGGAAAGGTGTTGTTAGGGCAGATGGGAAGGTTTCGTGAGGGCAGATGGGAAGGTTTCGTGTGGGCAGATGGGAAGGTTTTGTGAGGGCAGATGGGAAGGTTTTGTGAGGGCAGATGGGAAGGTTTTGTGAGGGCAGATGGGAAGGTTTTGTGAGGGCAGATGGGAAGGTTTTGTGAGGGCAGATGGTTTTGTGAGGGCAGATGGTTTTGTGAGGGCAGATGGTTTTGTGAGGGCAGATGGTTTTGTGAGGGCAGATGGTTTTGTGAGGGCAGATGGTTTTGTGAGGGCAGATGGTTTTGTGAGGGCAGATGGTTTTGTGAGGGCAGATGGTTTTGTGAGGGCAGATGGTTTTGTGAGGGCAGATGGTTTTGTGAGGGCAGATGGTTTTGTGAGGGCAGATGGGAAGGTTTCGTGAGGGCAGATGGGAAGGTTTCGTGTGGGCAGATGGGAAGGTTTTGTGAGGGCAGATGGGAAGGTTTTGTGAGGGCAGATGGGAAGGTGTTGTGATGGCAGATGGAAAGGTGTTGTTAGGGCAGATGGGAAGGTTTTGTGAGGGCAGATGGGAAGGTGTTGTGATGGCAGATGGAAAGGTGTTGTTAGGGCAGATGGGAAGGTTTCGTGAGGGCGGATGGGAAGGTTTCGTGTGGGCAGATGGGAAGGTTTTGTGAGGGCAGATGGGAAGGTTTTGTGAGGGCAGATGGGAAGGTTTTGTGAGGGCAGATGGGAAGGTTTTGTGAGGGCAGATGGGAAGGTTTTGTGAGGGCAGATGGTTTTGTGAGGGCAGATGGTTTTGTGAGGGCAGATGGTTTTGTGAGGGCAGATGGTTTTGTGAGGGCAGATGGTTTTGTGAGGGCAGATGGTTTTGTGAGGGCAGATGGTTTTGTGAGGGCAGATGGGAAGGTTTTGTGAGGGCAGAAGGGAAGGTTTTGTTAGGGCAGATGAAAAACCTACACACAAACGTCATACGTAAACCGACACACATTAACTACAAACACACAACCCCCCCACACACACACAACCCCCACACACAAGCCCCTACAACCCCCCCACAAACCCCCACAAACCCCCACAACCCCCCACACAAACCCCACAGCCCCCCCCCCCCCCCCCCCACACACACAAACCCCTACAGACCTCGATGACCTTGTCCGGCCGCACGGCCAGCAGGAGCGCCAGATAGTCTATGACCGTCACCGTCTTGTTGTAGGCGCCGTAGATGTACAGGACCGTCTCCTCGCGCGTGCTACCGATCATGATGGGCTTCTTCTGGTAGCCCCCAGCCCCGTACACATCCAGGGGCTGGCCTGGGGGATAGACACGTGACATGGTTGTTAGACACGTGACATGGTTGTTAGACACGTGACTTTGTTGTTAGACACGTGACAGGGTTGTTAGACACGTGACTGGGTTGTTAGACACGTGACAGGGTTGTTAGACACGTGACAGGGTTGTTAGACACGTGAAAGGGTTGTTAGACACGTGACATGTTTGTTAGACACGTGACTTGGTTGTTAGACACGTGACTGGGGACACGTGACAGGGTTGTTAGACACGTGACATGGTTGTTAGACACGTGACTTGGTTGTTAGACACGTGACTGGGGACACGTGACATGTTTGTTAGACACGTGCCTTGGTTGTTAGACACGTGACTTGGTTGTTAGACACGTGACTGGGTTGTTAGACACGTGACTGGGGACACGTGACAGGGTTGTTAGACACGTGACTTGGTTGTTAGACACGTGACTGGGGACACGTGACATGTTTGTTAGACACGTGACTTGGTTGTTAGACACGTGACTGGGGACACGTGACAGGGTTGTTAGACACGTGACATGGTTGTTAGACACGTGACAGGGTTGTTAGACACGTGACAGGGTTGTTAGACACGTGACAGGGTTGTTAGACACGTGACAGGGTTGTTAGACACGTGACAGGGTTGTTAGACACGTGACAGGGTTGTTAGACACGTGACAGGGTTGTTAGACACGTGACAGGGTTGTTAGACACGTGACAGGGTTGTTAGACACGTGACAGGGTGTTAGACACGTGACAGGAGACACGTGACAGGGTTGTTAGACACGTGACTGGGTTGTTAGACACGTGACTTGGTTGTTAGACACGTCACGGGGTTGTTAGACACGCGTTAGGGTTGTTAGACACATGTTTTATCAAGTTGTAGCTATGGGATTTGTTTGACATATTTAAACGGCAAGCAACACATCAAAGGCAGACAACCTAACCACTAGACAGGTTCCATATACTAGACCAAGGGCAGACAACCTTTAACCACTAGACAGGTTCCATATACTAGACCAAGGGCAGACAACCTTTAACCACTAGACAGGTTCCTTATACTGGAGACAAAGGTCAGACAACCTAACCACTAGACAGTTTCTATATACTAGAAGGGCAGACAACCTAACCACTAGACAGTTTCTATATACTAGAAGGGCAGACAACCTAACCACTAGACAGTATCTATATACTAGACCAAGGGCAGACAACCTAACCACTAGACAGTTTCTATATACTAGAAGGGCAGACAACCTAACCACTAGACAGGTTCCTTATACAAGAGACCAAGGGCAGACAACCTAACCACTAGACAGTTTCTATATACTAGAAGGGCAGACAACCTAACCACTAGACATGTTCCATATACTAGATCAAGGGCAGACAACCTAACCACTAGACAGGTTCTATATACTAGAAGGGCAGACAACCTAACCACTAGACAGTTTCTATATACTAGACCAAGGGCAGACAACCTAACCCCTAGACAGTTTCTATATACTAGACCAAGGGCAGACAACCTAACCACTAGACAGTTTCTATATACTAGAAGGGCAGACAACCTAACCACTAGATAGGTTCCATATACTAGACCAAGGGCAGACAACCTAACTACTAGACAGTTACTATATACTAGAAGGGCAGACAACCTAACCACTAGACAGGTTCCATATACTAGACCAAGGGCAGACAACCTAACCACTAGACAGGTTCCATATACTAGACCAAGGGCAGACAACCTAACCACTAGACAGTTTCTATATACTAGAAGGGCAGACAACCTAACCACTAGACAGGTTCCATATACTAGAGATCAAGGACAGACAACCTAACCACTAGACAGTTTCTATATACTAGAAGGGCAGACAACCTAACCACTAGACAGGTTCCATATACTAGACCAAGGGCAGACAACCCAACCACTAGACAGTTTCTATATACTAGAAGGGCAGACAACTTGTAACCACTAGACAGGTTCCATATTCTAGACCAAAGGGCAGACAACCTAACCACTAGACAGGTTCCATATACTAGAAGGGCAGACAACCTAACCACTAGACAGGTTCCATATACTAGATCAAGGGCAGACAACCTAACCACTAGACAGGTTCCATATACTAGACCAAGGGCAGACAACCTTTAACGACTCTGCCGTCGATGTGAGGTCCGTAGGGTTCAAACATCTCGAGGAACTTTAGGGAGGCAACTTCCGATCTAGTCTTCAGGGACGCTTGAGTTATCTCCTCCGCTGTTTTAGCCCTCAGACAGTCCATATCTGTGGACCAATTATTAGAGCAGTCGTTAAGAGGCCACCCCTGTGTGTGAGGCCACCCCTGTGTGTGGGGCCACCCCTGTGTGTGAGGCCATCTTAGTGTGTGAGGCCATCTTAGTGTGTGAGGCCATCTTAGTGTGTGAGGCCATCTTAGTGTGTGAGGCCACCCCTGTGTGTGAGGCCACCTCTGTGTGTGAGGCCACCCCTGTGTGTGAGGCCACCTCTGTGTGAGGCCACCTCTGTGTGTGTGAGGCCACCTTGTGTGTGTGAGGCCACCTCTGTGTGTGTGAGGCCACCTCTGTGTGAGGCCACCTCTGTGTGTGTGAGGCCATCTTGTGTGTGTGAGGCCACCTCTGTGTGTGTGAGGCCACCTCTGTGTGTGAGGCCACCTCTGTGTGTGTGAGGCCATCTTGTGTGTGTGAGGCCACCTCTGTGTGTGTGAGGCCACCTCTGTGTGTGAGGCCACCTCTGTGTGTGTGAGGCCATCTTGTGTGTGTGAGGCCACCTCTGCGTGTGTGAGGCCACCTCTGTGTGTGAGGCCACCTCTGTGTGAGGCCACCTCTGTGTGTGTGAGGCCATCTTGTGTGTGAGGCCACTCCTGTGTGTGAGGCCACCCCTGTGTGTGAGGCCACCTCTGTGTGTGAGGCCACCTCTGTGTGTGAGGCCACCTCTGTGTGTGAGGCCACCTTTGTGTGTGAGGCCACCTTTGTGTGTGAGGCCACCCTTGTGTGTGAGGCCACCTCTGTGTGTGAGGCCACCTCTGTGTGTGAGGCCACCTTTGTGTGTGAGGCCACCTTTGTGTGTGAGGCCACCCTTGTGTGTGAGGCCACCTCTGTGTGTGAGGCCACCTTTGTGTGTGAGGCCACCTTTGTGTGTGAGGCCACCCTTGTGTGTGAGGCCACCTCTGTGTGTGAGGCCACCTTTGTGTGTGAGGCCACCTTTGTGTGTGAGGCCACCCTTGTGTGTGAGGCCACCTTTGTGTGTGAGGCCACCCTTGTGTGAGGCCATCTGTGTGTGAGGCCACCTCTTCATGGCCACCAATTGAATCAAGTATTGCTGAAGATGAGAACGTGCTGCCCTACGGCCATTTGAAATCGAAAAATGTAAAAACAATATCCAGGTTAATTAGGGGGGCAAATTAGCTTCTGCCGGCCTGGTCCGTCATGTTTCTTCTCTCTTCTGTCATGTCTGGCTGTCATGTTGTCTGTTATAATTGTTAAAGTATGCTTCTCTCTGTTATATGTCTTTCATATTGGTCTGTCACGTCGGGCTGTCACGTCGGACTGTCATGTGAACTTTGTTTCGTCTGACCCAGCTACCCACCCCTGACCCAGCTACCCACCCCTGACCCAGCTACCCACCCCTGACCCAGCTACCCACCCCTGACCCAGCTACCCACCCCTGACCCGGCTACCCACCCCTGACCCAGCTACCCACCCCTGACCCAGCTACCCACCCCTGACCCAGACAGCCACCCCTGACCCAGCTACCCACCCCTGACCCAGCTACCCACCCCTGACCCAGCTACCCACCCCTGACCCAGCTACCCACCCCTGACCCAGCTACCCACCCCTGACCCAGCTACCCACCCCTGACCCAGCTACCCACCCCTGACCCAGCTACCCACCCCTGACCCAGCTACCCACCCCTGACCAAGCTACCCACCCCTGACCCAGCTACCCACCCCTGACCCAGCTACCCACCCCTGACCCAGCTACCCACGACCCAGCTACCCACCCCTGACCAAGCTACCCACCCCTGACCCAGCTACCCACCCCTGACCCAGCTACCCACCCCTGACCCAGCTACCCACCCCTGACCCAGCTACCCACCCCTGACCCAGCTACCCACCCCTGACGGGACAGCCGACAGCCTCCGCCAGCAGCCCGCCCAGCACGAAGGCCTCTGTGTATGTCTTGTATGGCAGGGCCAGGGGTGAGCTCTCGATGATGGCGCGCTGGAACAGTCCGGCAGTCTCGTCCAGCGTCATGTGCTGGATGACGGACTGGGCGCCGGCACTCTGACCAAACAACGTCACCTGCAACAAGAACAACGGCGAACAACGTCACCTACAACAACAAACAACGTCACCTGCAACAACAGCGAACAACGTCACCTGCAACAACAGCGAACAACGTCACCTGCAACAACAGCGAACAACGTCACATACAACAATAACAACACCGAACAACGTCACCTGCAACAGCAACAGCAAACAACGTCACCTGCAACAGCAACAGCAAACAACGTCACCTACAACAGCAACAGCAAACAACGTCACCTACAACAACAACAACAACAGCGAACAACGTCACCTGCAACAACAACACACTCCGGTGATGGACGCGTCCTCATCGTTTACCGAGGTACCATCATTGTCCTGATCGATCACCTCACTATATGTGTCACCACCTGATCACCTCAAATTATGTGTCACCACCTGATAACCTCACCTTATGTGTGTCATCACCTGATCACCTCACCTTATGTGTGTCACCACCTGATCACCTCAAATAATGTGTCACCACCTGATCACCCCACCTTATGTGTGTCACCACCTGATCACCTCACCTTATGTGTGTCACCACCTGATCACCTCACCTTATGTGTGTCACCACCTGATCACCTCACCTTCCCAGGGTCACCACCTGTTCACCTCTCATTCCACGTGTCACCACCTTATCATCTCACCTTATGTGTGTCACCACCTGATCACCTCACCTTATGTGTGTCACCACCTGATCACCTCACCTTATGTGTCGCCACCTGATCACCTCACCTTAAATGTCGCCACCTGATCACCTCACCTTATCTGTATCACCACCTAATCACATCACCTTGTGTGTGTCACCACCTGATCACCTCACCTTCCCCGGGTCACCACCTGATCACCTCATCTTCCCCTGGTCACCACCTGATCGCCTCACCTTATGTGTGTCACCACCTGATCACCTCACCTTATCTGTATCACCACCTAATCACATCACCTTGTGTGTGTCACCACCTGATCACCTCACCTTCCCCGGGTCACCACCTGATCACCTCATCTTCCCCTGGTCACCACCTGATCACCTCACCTTATGTGTGTCACCACCTGATCACCTCACCTTCTCCGGGTCACCACCAAACTGCCGGATGTTGTCCCTGATCCACTTGAGGGCTAACACCTGGTCGTAGAGGCCGTAGTTGCCCCGGGCGTCGTCATCCCCGTCCCCGGTCACCAGAAACCCCAGAGCACCTGCAAGTAGAGCACGTCGTGACGTCAGTCGAGAAGACTGACCAATGAGTGGACATGTCTGGGGTCACGTGGCTCGCCAAGAAAAAGTACCCCGAGTGTACTGTGTTAAAGCCTATACCATTTGTGTCTGTCCACTTCTGACATCCCTACATGTACACAAGGACGGTCTGGGGGCTAGTAGAGCTACGTTTCTCTCTGGTAAATGTAATATTAGAGAGAACGCTGAACTACGCTTCTAAGTACGATAGTAAATGTAATCTTATAGAGAAATACCAACGCAGAGGGTGGGGAGGGCAAGGGTGGGGGAGCGGGGCCGAAGTCCACTTTTACCCCAGACGTGGATGGAACTTAACGTGACGTTAGAAATCAAATTTTCTCTCCATCAAAGTCAAGGTCACGTCTGATGGTGCGCGCCGGTCTTCACGTGACTGACACGCCCCTTGATGTCGATGGGTGCTTCACGTCAACCCGTGGGTGGCTAGGAGAACTCACTGGGACAGTGGGTGTTGACCCGTGCCCCCCACCCCCACCAAATAAACTCACACAGACTGGTGTATTTTTACCCGCCCCACCACACCAGTTAATATGTGAGACCAACCCACACCGGAAGTAGGTCTGATGATTATTCAGCCTCCCCCTCCCCCACACACCACACACACACACCACACACACACATAACCCACTCACGCAAACAGCATCTCATTTTCTGTTAGACGTTTTCATGTTGTCATGCCCCCCCCCCTCCCCAATAGACTCCCCCAGCCTGTAGTTCTTGACCCTACCCCCCCCCCCCCAATAGACTCACCCTGTCTGTAGTTCAAGTTGACCCCCCCCCCCCCAATAGACTCACCTAGCCTGTAGTTCAAGTTGACCCCCCCCCCCAATAGACTCACCCAGCCTGTAGTTCAAGTTGACCTTACCCCTCCCCCCTTCCATCCCCCCACAATAGACTCACCCAGCCTGTAGTTCGTTGACCCCCCTCCCCAATAGACTCACCTAGCCTGTAGTTCAAGTTGACCCTACCCCCCTCCCCCCCCCAATAGACTCACCCAGCCTGTAGTTCAAGTTGACCCTACCCCCCCATAGACTCACCCAGCCTGTAGTTCAAGTTGTCCCCCCCCCCATCAATAGACTCACCCAGCCTGTAGTTCAAGTTGACCCCCACCCACCAATAGACTCACCCAGCCTGTAGTTCAAGTTGACCCTACCCCCCTCCCCCCCCCCAATAGACTCACCCAGCCTGTAGTTCAAGTTGACCCCCCCCCCCAATAGACTCACCCAGCCTGTAGTTCAAGTTGCCCCCCCCCCTAATAAACTCACCCAGCCTGTAGTTCAAGTTGCCCCCCCCCCCCTAATAAACTCACCCAGCCTGTAGTTCAAGTTGCCCCCCCCCCCACCAATAGACTCACCCAGCCTGAAGTTCAAGTTGACCCCCCCCCCCAATAGACTCACCCAGTCTGTAGTTCATGACCCTACCCCCCCCCCCCCCGCAATAGACTCACCCAGCCTGTAGTTCATGTTGACCTGCACAACATTCCCCCACCAATAGACTCACCCAGCCTGTAGTTCATGTTGACCTGGACAACGTTCCCCCTCTGTGTGAAGTAGACCCCCCCCCACCAATAAACTCACCCAGCCTGTAGTTCAAGTTGACCCCCCCCCCCACCAATGGACTCACCCAGCCTGTAGTTCAAGTTGACCTGGACAACATTCCCCCCCCCCTAATAAACTCACCCAGCCTGTAGTTCAAGTTGTCCCCCCCCCCAATAGACTCACCCAGCCTGTAGTTCAAGTTGTCCCCCCCCCCCAATAGACTCACCCAGCCTGTAGTTCAAGTTGTCCCCCCCCCCTAATAGACTCACCCAGTCTGTAGTTCAAGTTGACCCCCCCCCCCACCAATAGACTCACCTAGCCTGTAGTTCAAGTTGACCTGGACAACATTCCCCAATAGACTCACCCAGCCTGTAGTTCAAGTTGACCTGGACAACGTTCCCCCCCCCTAATAGACTCACCCAGCCTGTAGTTCAAGTTGACCTGGACAACGTTCCCCCCCCCCTAATAGACTCACCCAGCCTGTAGTTCAAGTTGACCTGGACAACGTTCCCCCCCCCCCCTAATAGACTCACCCAGCCTGTAGTTCATGTTGACCTGGACAACGTTCCCCCCCCCCCTAATAGACTCACCCAGCCTGTAGTTCATGTTGACCTGGACAACATTCCCCCTCTGTGTGAAGTAGACCCCGTCGAACAGCGGACTTGACCCACTCATGTCGAAGAAGTTTCCGCCGTGAATGTAGGCCATAACCGGCAGACCGGAAGTATTTCCGGCACCATCGGGGGCGAAGATATTCAGATAGAGACAGTCTTCAGACATCTGTTCAGATAGAGACAGTCTTCAGACATCTGTTCAGATAGAGACTGTCTTCAGACATCTGTTCAGACTGTCTTCAGACATCTGTTCAGACTGTCTTCAGACATCTGTTCAGATAGAGACTGTCTTCAGACATCTGTTCAGACATCTGTTCAGATAGAGACTGTCTTCAGACATCTGCTCAGACTGTCTTCAGACATCTGCTCAGACTGTCTTCAGACATCTGCTCAGACTGTCTTCAGACATCTGTTCAGATAGAGACTGTCTTCAGACATCTGCTCAGACAGTCTTCAGACATCTGTTCAGATAGAGACTGTCTTCAGACATCTGTTCAGGCTGTCTTCAGACATCTGTTCAGACTGTCTTCAGACATCTGTTCAGATAGAGACTGTTCAGACATCTGTTCAGATAGAGACAGTCTTCAGACATCTGCTCAGATAGAGACATTCTTCAGACATCTGTTCAGATAGAGACTGTCTTCAGACATCTGTTCAGACTGTCTTCAGACATCTGTTCAGACTGTCTTCAGACATCTGCTAAGATAGAGACTGTCTTCAGACATCTGCTCAGATAGAGACAGTCTTCAGACATCTGTTCAGATAGAGACTGTCTTCAGACATCTGTTCAGACTGTCTTCAGACATCTGTTCAGACTGTCTTCAGACATCTGTTCAGATAGAGACTGTCTTCAGACATCTGTTCAGATAGAGACTGTCTTCAGACATCTGTTCAGACTGTCTTCAGACATCTGTTCAGACTGTCTTCAGACATCTGTTCAGATAGAGACTGTCTTCAGACATCTGCTAAGATAGAGACTGTCTTCAGACATCTGTTAAGATAGCGACTGTCTTCAGACATCTGCTAAGATACAGACAGTCTTCAGACATCTGCTAAGATAGAGACAGTCTTCAGACATCTGCTAAGATACAGTCTTCAGACATCTGCTAAGAAAGAGACCGTCTTCAGACATCTGTTCAGAAAGACATTCTTTTTTTTTTTTGCTTTTTGTTATACGGAGTAAAGTAGATTAGCATTGTAATTCGAAAAATTGAAATTAATATTGTCACAAATTAATATTGTCACAAATTAATATTGTCACAAATTAATATTGTCACAAATCTCTACATCTTTCCTTCGTCGGAATCGTAAAGGTCTTAACTTATGTAGGGCCTACTATTTTTTAGTCAGGTAGATGAAAAAATTGTCATAAATATGTATTAGATCTAGATCCTATACCTAGGTTGTATTAACTTTTGAGTGATTTCCGGTTACCGAAAATGGTACTTCTATCTGTGCCTGCTTTCTCAGATTCCTATTAAATTTTTAATTTTCATGTTCCCACAAAGCATCCGAGTCAAGAACTTTGCAAGTTAAGGAATATTGACTTTACAAGGCCAACATTGCAAGTAAAGGAATATTGACTTTACAAGGCCAACATTGCTTTAACCCAATTCCACTATTTGTGACAGTTGCCTAGCGTATTTGTGACAGTTGCCTACCTTTTTGGGGCAGGCGATGGTGGGCGTCAACTTCTCGCAGCCGATCTGTGGGCACCCGGGCGGGTCTACGTCTGCTGCCAGCACATGGGCCCACGGGGCGGGGGGCTGGGGCGGCAGCCATCTAAATGACAGGTAGCCTAAGTTTACATCGAGTAGTTTAAAGGTAGCCTAAGTTTACATCAAGTAGTTTAAAGGTAGCCATCTAAATGACAGGTAGCCTAAGTTTACATCAAGTAGTTAAAAGGTAGCCTAAGTTTACATCAAGTAGTTTAAAGGTAGCCATCTAAATGACAGGTAGCCTAAGTTTACATCAAGTAGTTTAAAGGTAGCCATCTAAATGACAGGTAGCCTAAGTTTACATCAAGTAGTTTAAAGGTAGCCATCTAAATGACAGGTAGCCTAAGTTTACATCAAGTAGTTAAAAGGTAGCCTAAGTTTACATCATGTAGTTTAATGGTAGTCTAAGTTTACATCAAGTACTTAAAAGGTAGCCTAAGTTTACATAAAGTAATTAAAACTGACACAGTCTCAAATTTTCATCAACCCCCGACCCCCCCCCCCCTCGAACCGTCTCCCTCGCGTCACGTGCCACTACGTCACTGGCCAAAGTTTCTGGTGACCGGAAGTCCGTGTGCTGACGTCTGCTGGTCCAACTGGACAACTGGACACTGGTCTGACGGAAAATGCCGGGCGTCACGGGAGAAATGTTGATCACGTGGTCACCCGATCACGTGACAGACAGGACCCGAGCAGACGATATCTCGCTGACGTCACATCCGTTGCTACGGTCGTGTGGCAGGTAATATTGCTTTACAAATGAGGGTCACTGGGGTCACTGGTCAGGCGGGGTTGCAATGAAATACGTTGACCCCAAACATTAGACGGCTAGAAAAACATGAGTTCTAAAAAAAAAAAGGAAAATCAAATCTCCATCTGTGGCGATTCTTGATGCCTTGTCACAGATACAGGCTGGTGGGCGGGGCTTCTGGACAGGAAGTGGATGAATCAGTTGCATCTACGGGGGCGGGGTTGTGATGGTTTGTACCGATGTCTTATGCGTGGTCAACTTTCCTCTGATGAGAAATCACACTTTGGTCAGTGATGTCAGGTGGTGAGACGTGGATGGTAAGACGTGGATGGTGAGACGTGGGTGGTGAGACGTGGGTGGTGAGGCGTGGATGGTGAGACGTGGATGGTGAGACGTGGAAGGTGAGACGTGGATGGTGAGACGTGGATGGTGAGGTGGTGAGACGTGAGGTGGTGAGACGTGGATGGTGAGACGTGGATGGTGAGGCGTGGATGGTGAGATGTGAGGTGGTGAGACGTGAGGTGGTGAGACGTGAGGTGGTGAGACGTGGATGGTGAGGCGTGGATGGTGAGACGTGGATGGTGAGGTGGTGAGACGTGAGGTGGTGAGACGTGGATGGTGAGACGTGAGGTGGTGAGACGTGAGGTGGTGAGACGTGAGGTGGTGAGACGTGGATGGTGAGACGTGGATGGTGAGACGTGGATGGTGAGACGTGGATGGTGAGACGTGGATGGTGAGACGTGGATGGTGAGGTGGTGAGACGTGAGGTGGTGAGACGTGAGGTGGTGAGACGTGAGGTGGTGAGACGTGGATGGTGAGACGTGGATGGTGAGGCGTGGATGGTGAGACGTGGATGGTGAGGCGTGGATGGTGAGGCGTGGATGGTGAGGCGTGGATGGTGAGGCGTGGATGGTGAGGCGTGGATGGTGAGGCGTGGATGGTGAGACGTGAGGTGGTGAGACGTGAGGTGGTGAGACGTGAGGTGGTGAGATGGTGAGGTGGTGAGATGGTGAGATGGTGAGACGTGAGATGGTGAGACGTGGGGTAGTGTGAAGACAGATGGTTGGCCAATGAAAATTGGTGTTTGTTGCTGTGTTTTTTAAAGAGATTTTACAGTAATTTGAAAAGATCTCAAACGTTTACTTATATATTTTAAAAAATCGCGTGCAATGTTATTAAAATAAATGTCGATATAGAAACTGGATCGTTTGGTATTTATCATCACAACTTTACTAAAGATCGGACTTGTTAGATGCTTCTATTTTCAGTGAGGAAATAAAATTTGAAAATTAGGTAAAAAAATGTGGTTGTATCTTGTGTTGAGTTGGTGATGGAGATCCTAAAAGATCCTGCAGGTCAATAGGTTAGCATCAATTACACGGGGAAAATGCACATGCATAAAAATAATGAGAAGATAAACTTTAAACAAATTGACGGCGGACTTATTCATATCTAATATGTCCACGTCTACAAGGGGACACTATTCTATTACCGATATTTGTTTTTAATTTTACACTATTTTACACACGCTATGTTGACAAAACTGAGAAAAACATTTATTGTTTATCCATGACCACCTCACCCGTCCATTTGTGTCCGTTGAACTGTATAAGTCATTTTCAATTTCCCCCCCCCTCCCATTTAACATACGGTAAAGAACTACATTTACTGAACAAATCCCCCCCCCCCCCCCTCCCATTTAACATACGGTAAAGAACTACATTTACTGAACAAATCCCCCCCTCCCATTTAACATACGGTAAAGAACTGCCTTGACCCGGTGCATACCATGTTTTTTTCCTGCGCAGTTTGCTCAACATTTCAATGTCGTCTTGTTTTTAGCTTTAGGGTTTCGTGTTTTTAATTTTAGTTTTTATTCGTGAGATTTAAAGTACAAACTTCATCGAAGACTTACCTTACCGACAGGTTGTGGGCAGGCAAGACTTACCTTAATTTACCAACCGGTCGTGGGCAACAAAGACTTACCTTAACTTACCGACAGGTTGTGGGCAACAAAGACTTACCTTAACTTACCGACAGGTTTTAGTAGGCAAGACTTACCTTAATTTACCGACAGGCGGTGAGGCAAAGGGCACACCTCTGAAGGCCACGGTCAAGCCGTCGCTGATGCCCTTGACCTTGCCATGGCTCGTCTGCACGATGACCTCTCTGCCCAGCACGGACAAGATGGCACACGACAGGAAACTAAGGGCGAGCAACCCACGGGACATTGTCTGGAGCCAAAAACAAAGGGCCAGGAATTAGTTACGTCATCGGTCGTCGTGTAGGACTTAATCTACATGCTCAACACTACCTGGTGTCCGCTATTCAGCACTCAACACTACATCGTGTCCGCTATTCAGCACTCAACACTACATCGTGTCCGCTATTCAGCACTCAACACTACATCGTGTCCGCTATTCAGCACTCAACACTACATCGTGTCCGCTATTCAGCACTCAACACTACCTCGTGTCCGCTATTCAGCACTCAACACTACCTCGTGTCCGCTATTCAGCACTCAACACTACCTCGTGTCCGCTATTCAGCACTCAACACTACCTCGTGTCCGCTATTCAGCACTCAACACTACCTCGTGTCCGCTATTCAGCACTCAACACTACCTCGTGTCCGCTATTCAGCACTCAACACTACCTCGTGTCCGCTATTCAGCACTCAACACTACCTCGTGTCCGCTATTCAGCACTCAACACTACCTCGTGTCCGCTATTCAGCACTTAACACTGTGTCGAGTTACAATCGCCGTAGTCCTTGTTTTAGTGCCACAATCGTGATTTCTCTGGGCCTGAGCTCGTGACAAAAACGTGACTTGACGATCTCTATATCAGACTAAACTTGCGAACGAAGGCCGATGTATCATAGAAAATGTTTGACACGAAGGCCGATATATAAGTTTTATACAAAGGCCGATTTATCTTGCATGGAGTGTAAGACACAAAGGCCAGTGTATCAGACAAAACTTTGGACACAAAGAACGGTGTATCACGCATGGATTATTGACATAAAGGCCGATATATCATGAACGAAGTATAGCTCTGAGATTCTTGCAAAATACAACTTTGGTTTATCGACGTAGTCCCCCCCCCCCCCCCCGACCTCCTGACCTCTCCCCGGGACGTTTCAGTACCGCTGACCGGCAGTATCAGCAGAATAATCTAAAACTCGAGGTCTGACAGCTCTGTGGTTGCCATGGAGACGGCCAGTGGTTGCCATGGAGACGGCCAGTGGTTGCCATGGAGACGGCCAGTGGTTGCCATAGTGAGAGCTAGCCCCAACTATCCAGTGTTTGACACTTGTGTTGGACTGGCCGACAACCTGCAGCAGATCTGTCAGATGCGGGACTTGTTTATGCGACATGTTTGTTGTACAGATTTATGCGACATGTTTGCGCAACTTGTTTATGCGACATGTTTGTTGAACAAATTCATGCGACATGTTTGCGCAACTTGTTTATGCGACATGTTTGTTGAACAAATTCATGCGACATGTTTGCGCAACTTGTTTATGCGACATGTTTGTTGAACAAATTCATGCGACATGTTTGCGCAACTTGTTTATGCGACATGTTTGTTGAACATATTCATGCGACATGTTTGCGCAACTTGTTTATGCGACATGTTTGTTGAACAAATTCATGCGACATGTTTGCGCAACTTGTTTATGCGACATGTTTGTTGAACATATTCATGCAACATGTATGCGCAACTTGTTTATGCGACATGTTTGTTGAACAAATTCATGCGACATGTTTGCGCAACTTGTTTATGCGACATGTTTGTTGAACAAATTCATGCGACATGTTTGCGCAACTTGTTTATGCGACATGTTTGTTGAACAAATTCATGCGACATGTTTGCGCAACTTGTTTATGCGACATGTTTGTTGAACAAATTCATGCGACATGTTTGCGCAACTTGTTTATGCGACATGTTTGTTGAACAAATTCATGCAACATGTATGCGCAACTTGTTTATGCGACATGTTTGTTGAACAGATTCATGCGACATGTTTGCGCAACTTGTTTATGAGGCATGTTTGTTGAACAGATTCATGCGACATGTTTGCGCAACTTGTTTATGCGACATGTTTGTTGAACAGATTCATACCACAAGTTTGCGCAACTTGTTTATGCAACATTGTCGCACAACCTAACTATAAAATGTGAACGGCATAGATTCTCAAACATTTTAAAGTTGTAAAACGTGAGAAACTACATTTTAGGGAAGCATTTTTACCTCCCCCCTCCTTCCTTCACCTCCCCCCCCCCCCCTCCTTCTTAACCACCTTCCTTCACCCGCCCCCCCCTCCCCACCCGTCGATCTAGAAAGTTTCACGTGTCAAACAAAAGAATAATTGTGCCGCTCAAATAACGCCCGGCCGGAAAATGTAATAATATCCGGGTCAATTGAAGCCAGCAACCCGGACAAGTGAGGCTAGCGGGCCGGACAAGTGAGGCTAGCGGGCCGGACAATGAGTATAGTAAGTAAATATCCGGAGCGGTTCCAGCCATTTCCCGCGTCTTGTAGCAGACGTGTCTGGTCTGGCAGCCAATTGTTGGCACGCAAGAAAAACAAATTTCCCAAAAGCCACTTAACATTGCACGAGAAAAGTCTTTCCATTTTGAACCCTACACGCAGTCGCCCCCCTTGAGTATTATGAAAGCTACCTAATCAATCAAGGGGAGATTACTCCGTCCGCGAGTTGAACAACTCGCTATCCCAACAACGGGCTCAGGCCGGGCTCAAAGGGAAGTTACTGCAGATCTGCTCACACTGGGTACGGTGGGGAGTTGATGGCTGGGGTTTAGCGCTTACATTAGCCGGGTTTAGCGCTTACATTAGCCGGGTTTAGCGCTTACACTAGTCTGATTTAACGCTTACATTTAACGGGTTTAGCGCTTACATTAGCCGGGTTTAGCACTTACATTAGCCGGGTTTAGCGCTTACACTAGTCTGATTTAACGCTTACATTTAACGGGTTTAGCGCTTACATTAGCCGGGTTTAGCGTTTACACTAGTCTGATTTAGCGCTTACATTTAACGGGTTTAGCACTTAGATTAGCCGGGTTTAGCGCTTACACTAGTCTGATTTAACGCTTACATTAGTCTGATTTAGCGCTTACATTAGCCGGGTTTAGGGCATATATTAGCCTGGTTTAGCGTTTACATTTTACGGGTTTAGCGCTTACATTTAACGGGTTTAGCGCTTACATTAGTCTGGTTTAGCTTACATTAGTCTGGTTTAGCACTGACACCAACCTACCTTCCCCACCCCCAATCTCCTGCTCCCTAAGTTAAACCGAAAGGTTGTGCCGTTAAACCCGTCCATATCGAAATACAGAGGTCTAAAAATAGAGGAAAAAACTCACCAGTTTGTGTCGGTAGGTCTCCCGCTACTAAACATGTGGGCGTGGCATATCTCCATACCACGTGACCACTGTTATCGCCAGATGTGATACCGCTGTACCACGTGACGGAAGGGGACCAAAATACGTCAGTTAACGACACTTAGCTAGACGTGTGACGTCAGCACGGTGGTACACGTCCGGCGTTACCGTACATTGTGTTAACCTTACTTTCACATTAAATGACGTCCAGATATGACGTCCACAAACGACGTCCACAAATGACGTCCACATATGACGTCCACAAATGACGTCCATATTGACACACTGTAAAAGTTGTAAGGTACTCTGGAACTGTTTTGGTCTCCTACACACGTGTCGGCCTTGAGGGATATCTCAGGTAGGCTAATTAGGTTGATCTGATATCTATCTGATCAACAAATGGGATATCGATATCGATCTCATCAATTAGTAGGATAAAAGTTTAGCTCTAGCTCTATTGTGATTTGCAGCAATGTGGCTTTCCAATTTTGGCGGGAATCCTATTTTTCCGTTTTTTCGGTACAATTTTTCTCCACTCATTACGTTTTCTCCAAAAAATTTCTGCCGATTTTACGATTTTTGTTAAATTTTTCGGAAGTTTTAAAAATTTGAAAAAAAAAAACATCTACGGAAAGAGCCCACACACACATATTCCACTTATCTGTCTATCTAACTCTCTATCTATATACTACTAAAACTCAATTTAGTTTACATATTTGTATATTTATTTAGGTTTTTTTTTGTCTGTTTGGTTACAGGAGAGAATCTGCGCTATGTGTAGAGCTGTACAAAGCGTAATTATATATAGAATAATGTTCTTTTTGACCAAACTGTTAATCACAAATTAATTTAAAGACGTTAATTAATTTATTGATATATTCTTTTGAAGATTAACCACTTAATTTACAAAAGTTCAGAACAATGACTTTACTTATAGTGACGTCACATGATTTATTTACTTTTTACAACAATAACGGCGGCTTCCATCGAAGATTTTAGTGCCCATTCAAAAGTTTAACGCATTAGAAAACTAAATTTTCTATTTTTTTTTTCTATTTTTATTAGGTTCCAACACTATTATCAATTTTCAACCGTTCTTCTAATTTGAGTATATCTTTATATTTAAATCTCTTCATCGCCATAGATTATTGAGTTTCTTTATAAAACTATTTTAGTCCTTAAATCTTTAATATAAATCTTTGCTTTTTAGCTTCAAGAATAATCTAATTCGATAATACATGGGATTTATCTATCTCTAGGTTATAGATCTACATCTACGGAAAAAATAGATCTAGATCTAAACTTAACGTAAATTCTATATCTAGACCTAGCGTGAATTCTACATCTAGAATCTAGATCTAAACCTATCTAGATATATTAAATTATTTCAGGCCTTAATTATATTATATAAATCTTTGTTTGTTTAGCTACGGATTGGCTAATTTGGAATATAACAATGTTAATTTTTTTTTTTTTTTTTTTAGATGTGAACTAGACTACCCGTCATCCGTTGGATAACTGTGGGTTTCGGGGGTCATCCATCAAAAAACATCACGTCTGTCACTCAGAGGCATAGCAACCCTTCCCGGCGCCCGGGGACAAACTTTTCGATTTGAACCCCCCCCCCCCCCCTCCCCGCAGGATTTCGATTTGCAACCCCCCCCCCAAACTTTTGATGTGCACCCCCCCCCCCCTCAAGATTTCGATTTGAACCCCCCCCCACTCAAACTTTCGATTTGCACCCCCTCAACCTTTCAATTTATTTTTCCAACCTATTTTGGTGCCCCCTAAGGTCGGCGCCCGGGGACATATGTGTCGTCCCCCCCCCCCCACCCCCGCTACGCTATTGCAGTGTCACTTATCGTCACAAAAAAACAGACCCCACTTTCAAAAATATGTTTTTTATCGTTTAAAAACAACGAAAACACCGATTTCGGACTATCCCTTCATATACTGACTTCATAGGTGACCTACTCAACTCTACTTCACCTGCCCAGTGTCCCGCCAAGTCTCAGACATGTTTTTATCGTTTAAAAAACGATTCCAGCCGAGCATGTCTCTGACCACACTATCCTTTCAAATGCTTAGGACAAAGAAACAGATAAACTCTACTTCACCTGCCCTGTATCCTGCCAAGTTCAGATAGGCAACTTTATCATTCATATCTAAAAAAAAAAAAAAATTGAAAAAAAATCATTGACGTATTGGTCTAGAACCTGTGCCACCCGCATGAGAGCCGATTACACTACCAACTTAGCTATTTACTCGTGACGTCACAAGTGAAGTTTTATACTATACTTTAAGTCTCCTTATGCAACTTGATTTACGCGCATAGATTTAGATCAAAGTCTAGTAGTAGTAACTTTCAAATTAAATTTTATCTTAAATTAGCCAAACAAAGATTTATATAAAATAAAGAAGGTCTGAAATTATCTAGATCTAGATAGAACTATCTAGATCTAGATTCTACGACTCGTTTGCTTAAGTCTTAAGTTTAGTTTTTCTTGCTAGATCTAGAATCTAGATTTTCTAGATCTAATCATTAGCTAATAGCTACGCTAATAGGCCCAGGAGCGAGCATTTCAAAATTACCATATTCCAAAGATTTATATAAAATAATAAAGGTCTAAAATAGTTTAGTATATAGAAAATCATTATTAACTAAATCTAGATAGAATTGTCTATATTTTAGATCTACGACTGAGCTATATTTAGAATTTACGTTTATAATTTAGCAAAATTAGCGGTATCGAAGCTGCGTATGAATCTTAAGCTACGCAAAATTTCAAAATTTGCATAGTCGAAACAAAGATTTATACAAAATAATAAAGGTCTTAAATATTTTAGTATATCGAAACTCATTATTATCTAAATCTAGATAGAATTATCTATATTCTAGATCTACGACTGGTTTGCTTAAGTCTCGTTTTTTTTTTTTTTTTTTGGATTGTATTCATAACTAATAAATCTTTGATTTTACCTAGATTCTAGATCTAGATCTAGATCTATAAATAACTTTCTTGGACAGATTGTAGATCTAGAGAAATTTATCGTAAAACTAAATGAAAAAGACAGTTGAAAATTGATATAAGTGTTGGAACGTAATAAATACAGCAAACGGACGTATTGTTAAAGTTAAAGCCGACAGAAAATTAGCTTTAGAACGCGTTAAACATTGGAATGGGAACACAATCTTCTTCGATAGGCCGCCATTATCGATGTAAAAAAATAAACACATCATGTGACGTCACTGTTTCCGTCGAGTCTAGTGGTTTTTGTAATCTTTTTTTAAAAAAGTGGTTAATCTACCTATGAATAAATCAATAAATTAATTAACGTCTTTAAATAAATGTGTGATTAACAGTCTGTCTTAAAACAAATAATTTTCTCTACCTACATACTATTTTACAGCTGTCCACGATGAATAGAAGTATTCACAATACTCGATCAGCCAAACAAAAAAAAAACAAAAAACAAAAAAAAAATATTCAAACATGTAAACAAACTTGACTTTTAGTAGTATATAGATAGATTTCTCTACCTACATACTATTTTACAGCTGTCCACGATGAATAGAAGTATTCACAATACTCGATCAGCCAAACAAAAAAAAAATAAACAAACAAAAAAAATAATATTCAAACATGTAAACAAACTTGACTTTTAGTAGTATATAGATGATAAAGTTGCCTATCGGAACTTTGCGGGATACAGGGTAGGTGAAGTAGATTTCATCTGTCTCTGTATCCTCATCATATGAAGGGATAATGCTCGGCCGAAATCATTTTTTTAAACGATAAAAACATGTTTTCTGAGACTTGGCGGGAAACTGGGCAGGTTAAGTAGAGTTGGGTAGGTGTAGAGTTCACATGTGACGTCAGCATATGAAGGGGTCAGACTCATGCTCTGCCGAAATCGGTGTTTTTAAAAGACAGAAACGTCTGAGGTATGACATCTTTTTGAATGTGGGGTCTGTTTTTTTTTTGTAATGGATGACTCCCGAAACCTACAGTTATCCAAAGGATGACGGGTGGTCTAGTTTTTATTAAAATCGAGTATTACGGTACCTGCGTCAAACAGACAATCGAATAAGCCGGGTCTGACGGTGCAGATTAAATGTAGGTCAAGATTCAAAATCTCGGCGGATTTCCGAATTTTTCAGAATAAAATTTATTTTTGTCCGAATTTTCCGCTGATATTTTCAGTTGGATATTTATCAAAAACATAGGGGAAAGCTATCAAAAATCAACTGGGAATGATCTCCCCTAAACTTTCTCGAATATTCTTATACGAGCCGACTCGCGGCCGACCCCCCCCCCCCCCCACCTTTCCCCCAACCCCCTACCCCCCCCCCCCCTTCCGTGAAAGTAGCCTCCTCTTAGCTACCTCCCCTAAGTTTAAAATCGTTTCAAACTAAATTATCTGCCCCTAATAGCCGTCACTAAACCCGGCTCTACGATTATAAACATTTAGCGTGAACCACAGCTCACCTGACTTCTAGAGAGGAAGAGAGGGGGCTGCAAGGCGCGCTTACAGCTTTTTTTCTAACGTCTCCAAGAAGAGAATTATATATATAGATAACACTACGGGGGTTGGCAACTCGGGATATAGGCAATATTTTAAACCCTTTTTAATTACTTAAACTTTTTAAAATAGAATAGAATCTCGTAGAAAAATACTTGCACACTAAGTGAAAATTTGCATAATAGTGCGGAATAATATTAGTACTTTATAAATTCAAATGCGGTTTTTTTTTGAGAAATTGGAAATAGCGAAAATTATTACTTCCGGTCAACAGAGGTTACTCAAAATTTGACAGAAGGTAGAGAATTAGATCTTATACTTATATGAGAAATTTCATTTTTCTGTCTGAAATAGTACTCAAGGTATAGACTTTTGAAAAATTCAAAGTAGAAAAAGTTCCACTACCGGTTATCGGAAATTGCTCAAAAATGGATACGGATCTACGATTTTGATATAATACTTATATATGAAATTTCATCAACCTAGCTGTAACGGTAATCAAACACACAGACACACATACACACACACAGACATACGGACAAGATTGCAAAACTATGTTTTTCCGA